TACCCTTGACTGGCTTAGAGTAGACTTGGTAGTGTAGGTTAATGGTTGGACTGGATGATCTTAAAGGTCTTTTCCAACCTAAACGATTCTAGGATTCTAGGATTCTATGGATCGAACATGAGGCCACGCCAGAACTGACGACTGCGCAATAAACTGAACCTGCTACTGCTAATGTTGCCAAATTCGGGGGCTTTTCATGGGCCCGACCCGGGGCTCCTAACAAATATGACTGTTTTCCCCACGCGTGCTCTTCAGAGAGCCTTGTAGGCTTTTTGGTAGCACCATGAGGTTTGTCATCTGCTTTTCTTCTGTTACTCTGCAGCATCATGAGCATAAACACCGCGAGCACCGTGGAACTAGAGAATTAAGAAGGTGTGGGGTCAGTTCCCCCACCTCACCATCACCTCTGCAGCCCTGGCTGTCCTGTGATCCAGGTGGCCATTCCCTGGAGCTCAGTCTCACAGAGGTCTAAGTCACTTAAAAGCCACCTTTGCCAGCATTGCTCGTGTTCTGCCATCCACCTTGGGCTGGCAAAGTTATCCCGGAGCTCTGTAGGAGGGAACGAGCCGTGGCCTCGGAGCTGCCGGCCTGGTTTGTCTTACAGCCTGGCTTGTGGGGTTGGCACCCCGGTGCCGTCCATCCCAGCACAGCGTCCAGTTTCCAGGTGGCCGTAGAGGGAGCCGGGCTTTGCCGAGATAACCAGTTTTCGGTGGCAAAGTTAGCTGAGCTGGATTACACTGCTAGTCCTCCTCCTGGACTTGCTGTTTGCCAGCGAGTGAGCTCTGATTTACACGGGAGCTTGGTGCTTCTCCCCTGCCATGCCTCGCCACGTGGACGTACACCCTTGGGTGCTGCCAGGGACGTGCAGGTCAGGGTGCAGCGGGGAGGTTTGTTTCCCCAGATATATAAAAGCACCTTTAGTTCTCTCCGTCATCACTAGAAACTGCATCTCCCGACGAACAAATCACGTTTTCCCCACTGCCAGGTCAGATGTGAAGGTTTTTTTTCTGGCCAGCAGTGGTCCCTCCGAAACTTTTCCCCCAAAGCGAGTCGCTGCAGGGGAGAAGGTTTGTTACCCTTCCTTTGGCACGTATCCGCAACCGGGATGCGACAAGCAGAGGCGGTCCTTGCGTTTGGACTGCAGAAGGGTCCAAAGCTGCTCACCGTAAAGGCGCAGCTGCACCGAGAGCCCGGCCAGCCCACGGTGGTTGGCGGTTCCCGAGCCCCCTCACCCCAGAGCCTGTGACGGCTTGCAGAAACCCTGGGGTTCGTAAGAAATTCGCTGTGTCTCATTCATCTGGGTTGCTCACCCTCTCGGACCTTGTGGGAGGAAGGGTCCTAAGCGGTGTCTCCAGGCCAGAGGACGAGGTGGAGAGAGGGGCAGAGCGTCGCCGCGGCGTTAGAGCAGAACACCTGAGCTTGCTGGCGTCTGTGCAGAGCCGGGAATCCCAGCCCCGCTCTCCTGCTCGCCTTGTAGGAGTGTTGCAGTCCTTGGGTGGATAACGTCCCCTTCGTAGCCCAGAACCTGGGAGAGGCTTCTCAGCACTGATCGCCTGGCGCTCCTCTTTCTTTTAGAATCATCGAATCGTTGAGGTTGGAAAAGTTCTTTAAGATGATCAAGTCCAACCATTAACCCAACACTACCAAGCCCACACCAAACCAATTCAGGGGAGAGGAATAATTAATTTCATGTTTCCTGCCTTGGGGGCTGGATTAATGAAAGTAAAACCAGGAATCACTAAGTTTGGAAAGGATCTCTAAGATCACCAGCCCAACCATCACCCCAACACCCCCATGCCCACTAAACCATGTCCCCAAGT